CAGGAGAAACAGTTGAATACATGTAAAAATCAGGCACATTTTTTATTTTTTTATTTTTTATTTTTGGAGACATGGTTTCCCTGTAGTTTTAGAGCCTCTCCTGGAACTAGCTCTTGTAGAATAGACTGGCCTTGAACTCACAGAGATCTGCCTGCCTCTGCCTCTCAAGTGCTGAGATTAAGATGGCACATTGTTTATTAGACATACTAGATTAATACTGTAGGTAGGGCATGGATAGTATTGGTAGAGTCATAGCAGCCTTAGTTCTTGACCTTGTGTAATTTCATCACAGTTCCTTTCTCTACTGCAGGGATCTTGTGAAGGCTATGTTAAACATTTGAAAGTTTTGCTTGGTTACTTTTGCTTAGTATGCTGTTTATTTTGTTTAATAAGTAAGTAATATCTGACAGTGAGTGGACATCATATTAACCCTTAGATGAACGTGAAATAGTTGAGTAGAAGTACAGTATTACTAAATTTGTACCGCCTACTTAGATTTAACCTTAACCATAAAGGAATGAGGAATTTATCAATTTATCCATCTTGGATTTCTAATGCCATGAATAATTTCTTAAGAAGCTTCTCCAAACATTTATTTTTAAGAGCCGTTTAATAAACCAAGCATTGGTGGTGCACACCTTTAATCCCAGTACTTAGGAATCAGAGGCAGGTGGACCTCTGAGTTTGAGGCCAGCCTGGTCCACAGACTAAGTTCCAGGACAACTAGGACTACACAGAGAAACACTGTCTCGAAAAACAGAAAAAAAAAAACACTAAAAGAAGCTAATTAATAAGTAATTCAGCAAACAATTATTTTTGAATGTTTCTGACTGTTCTAGGCAGTGTGGAGAGGAATGATCAAAACAAAGTCTGTGATTTTGTGGTGTCTTCTCAGTGTGGGAGTAGTAAGGAAATAAAGACGTACATTGCGTCCACTGTGATAAAAGGCTGTGGAGAAGAGAATACAGGGGAGGCTGTTTGAGATAGGGACTGGGGAGGGACCTGTGGTTATATCAGGGAGAAATCATGTTGCCAGCAGAGGGAACTGCAAACATGGGCTTCCTTACCAATGAGAAATTATTTGTTTTTTCTTTTTCAGAATAGTCTGTAGACCATTCTATAAGCTAGACTTCCCTTTTTTTCTCTGAACACTACCAATGCCTATTTTTTTTCCACAGAGAGATTTTATTTTATTTTTTAATAATTTATAAAAATTTCCACTTCCTCCCCTCCTCCCAATACCCTCCCACTCCCCCCACTCCCTCTCCAGTCCTAAGAGCAGTCAGGGTTTCCTGCCCTGTGGGAAGTTCAAGGTCCTCCCCCTTCCCTCCAGGTCTAGGAAGGTGAGCATCCAATCAGACTAGGATCCCAAAAAGTCAGTACGTGCAGACGAAAGCAGTCCCAGTGCCATTATCAATGGCTTCTCAGACAGCCCCCATGTCAGCCACATTCAGAGAATCCGGTTTGATCACATGCTTGTTCAGTCCCAGTCCAGCTACCAGTGCCTATTTTTTAGTCAGGAAACATAACAGGACTAAAGACGGAGTATGGATAACTCTTGGTGGCCCTTCCTAGTAATACATTTCCACCAGCCAGGCCCCACCTTGTGGCCGCTCTGTTGCCTCTCCAGAGTTTGTCACCTGGGTGGGAATAAGCTCAAAACTTAAGCTTGCTGGAGAAAGTTCACACTTAAACCATACCAAGTGGTTTTCTCAAGCGAAGTGTGAATTGAAGTGAGCTATGCTGTCCCTCCCCGCCTCCAAAAAATAAGGTAGAAAATGTAGGTGTATATTGGAGATTGGAAACGTCACTTTGGAAGTATCTTTTCCCATGAGACATATGCATGTTTTTTGAATGCTTTCTCAGGTAGGCCAGTATAGTTGATAGCAATACTCCTTTTCTAACACTAGGAATACTGACATATTTCTTTAGATACTTTCCACTGATACTTGGACTTGGAATCTGAAAGATCTGGGTAGGATCCCAAATGTTATGTCTAGGTAGATGTAATCTTATTAAGCAAGTTACTGATGAGTCATTTCCTCTGAAAGGTAGGAATGGTTAGAGATAGTAGATTATATTTATGAAATGCCATTGGTTTCTAGTAGTAGGTAATTCTTACTAGAGGAAATAATTTTAATTCACTTCAGATAAAAATTAACTTTTTTAATTTAAAATGATTTAGTGCTTCAGGTGGAGCATTTGGCATTGAATACAATATGTTGAAGCTCATTCCACTTTCCTCAGTGACAAGTGCTATCAGTACAGAGAAAGAAAAGAATGTTGAGTGTATGAAGCCAAAAGGATACATTGTACCAGACGGTGTTTAACTTATGGCACATAAGTTTGTGGTTTAAAGTATGCAATGTCAGAATTAATCAAATCTAAAATACACCCAGCAAAATCCTAGTTATTGTGAACTTGTAACAAATGGAAGAACATATCTCTGCCTTGTTTGTATGCTTAGCTGTGAGGGCAGATGATTTATAAAGCTTCCACAGATTAGCAGAGGGCAGCATAACGTGAAGTTCTTTAGATAGACTGCTCTGAAAATATAAATGAAGTGTATTTTATTATTTTACTAATCATAAACATCATTATTTTAGTTATACTTATATTAATTATATAATTAATAATTATAATTTAAATATAAAATTATATAGTTATTATGTTAATTAATATTCTTTAACATTTTGTACCTGCTCTTTTTCCTCAACACTTATTATTGTTAGAATGTTTATAGCCCTCACGTACTCCTATCTCTCATTCCTTGAAGAATATACTAGAATGTTTGTCTCTTGCTCACTGTGGCATTTCCAGTGCCTACCACCATAGGTACAGAATAGATTATGCTTGTTTAATAGATGGACTGGAGTTTGGAGAAGGAAGTATATATTACAAAGTGCTTGTGAAAGATTTTTGTGGAAAAGATAGACTCTGAAATAGACCTTGACAGTATTTTATTAAATGAGTTAATTTTTTATGAAGTACATTAAAGTAAATAATTGCCTATTTTTATTTTGATTAATGAATTGATTTTGAGACAGAATCTTGCTCTGTAGCACTGGTTGTCCTGGCATTAGCTGTGTAACCCAGACATGTGGCACTCCTCCTGTCTATGCCTCTAGAGTATTGGGATTATAGGCATGTATGGCCATGCCTGGTCCAATTTTATCAGTTTATGCATATTCCATGTTATATATTACTCTTAATTTTATTATCCTGCGATTTTCTAAAGCCTGGACAGTTCTTACCGTTAATGTCTCTTAGGCAATTTAAGTATAAAACCCATGTAATCAGAGTGAGCAGTATTGGTCTGTATATATCTGTTCTCTATCACTTGTAACAAATTCTGTCACCCTATATGAGCAGACTATATGCATATAAAGTCAGTCTGTTGGAGCTGATTACACATCATGTAGATCTTGATTCTAATTGTTGTTGGGAGTGTGAAAGCTTACCTTTTACTTTGACTTTGTCCGTAAACTACATATGAATTTGAACTCAAAGACATATGAATGTTCTGGTTGCCTTGTGAATTGAAGTCATAATTGAACATTATTACCCCCCCCCCCAAATTCTTAGGTTTTTAGCAAATCTTAGTATTTTGAATATTTGACATTTTGGTTGTGAGTCCTTTCTTTAATGACTGAATTGTCTCTTCACCCCTGAGTGTTTTTTGACAGGAGTCTCACTGTGTAGTTCTGTCTTGCTGGAGTTCATTATATAGACCAGGCTGGCCTCCAAGTCACAGAGATCCACCTGCCTCTGCCTCCCGAGTGCTGGAATTAAAGATATGTGCCACTACAGCTGGTTTAAGCATGTACTGTTTTTTTTCTAATCTCTTTTTGTTTTGTTTTTAAAAATATGTATAGGTGTTTTGCCTGCATGTTTCTCTGTCCATTACTTGTGTGTTTGTTTCCTGCATAGGCTAGATGAAGGCATCAGATGCTCTGGAACTGGTGTTACAGATGCTTGTGAACTGCTATGAGGGTGGTGGGACTTGAACCCAGGTTCTCTGGAAGAACAACAAGTGGTCTTAACCACTGAGATATATGTGACGTGAAATTGCATTTCCCACCTTTTATAGTTTCCTTTTCTCTTCTATTTTCTTTCAGCACTAAAGAAATTAAAATTAGTTTTAAATAAAAATATTAAAATGTTAAATTTTCTGGGTATTTTTCATATTGTAAACTAGAACATGTAGATGTTTCGATGTGAATTATCTTTTAGAAAATAAAATAACTTGTGATTCTCAGGTACTTTGCTGTAATTATTTTTTATAAATACCAAATTAGATGTTCTTTTATTACTACAGTAGACTTTAGAAAGCATCTGTCCTCTTTGCTTATTTTAGAGATTAGTGAGATAGCTGAGACCATTGGTGTGGTTTGTTCACAGTTGACAGTTCACAGCAGTTTAATTTTTGAACAACTTTAATATGATGTTCATTGGGAGGTGTGTATCCATCAAAAGGATATTGAGGAAAACATGAGAAATAAGATTTGAAGAAAATTTCCTTTAAAAATCTTGTTGACCTTAAAATGTGCACATTTGAAAAGCTAGATAGACTCTTGGATTATCATGAATTGAAAGCTGTTCTACAGTTCCCTTCCTTACTTGTTTTGAGTGCTTCCCTAACCTTTCACTTTAATTCAGCCGGGTTGTACAAAAGTAACACCATCTATTCCCTGATAATTTTTTCTTAATACGAGGAAATCTCTTTTTCTTTAGAAATATTGGAGAAATTGAAATCTTGAAAGATAAGTGTTAGATAAATTGAGATGTTGTTGCCTATTGTTAGTTGTATTTTTTTTTACTCAATTTTGTTGATTTTATTTTTTATATTAAAATTTATTTTGGTAAGACAAGATCCTGGCCTTAGTCTGAAGTCTGATTTTTTTTGTTTGTTTGTTTGTTTGTTTTCCTTCTTGATTTTATCTATCTGTAGCCTGCATTCTAGTATGGCAAGTTAGTGATTGTCTTCTGCTCTGTTTTAGATCCCTGTATGTCACTGAGTCCACCATGCTTCACTGAAGAAGACAGATTTAGTCTGGAAGCACTTCAGACAATCCATAAACAAATGGATGATGACAAAGACGGTGGCATAGAAGTGGACGAGAGTGATGAAGTAGGTGGAGCTCCTCTTCCTGGCTTCTCTTTCAATCTGCAGCTTTCCCTTGATTCCTTCAGAACTTAGCCCATTTTTCACTAGTTTTCAATGCCTTTGGCTTTTCTCTTTTTTAGGCTATAATTTTGCTTGTTGTATTTACATGACCTTTCTGAGTTTCTTTGCTGCTTGTGTTTCTCACCAACCCCCTTCCTCCTTTCCCTTTCCTTTCCAGTGTAATTGTGACTTCACAGATTGGTAGTTGTGGATATTTTTGACTTTGAGATGTCAGTGTGAAATATTACTCAGGCTAGTCTCAAATCCTAGGTTCAAAATTCTTAGCCTTAGCAATGTTTTTAGACACTCACATTGCCCCTCCCTCTGTTTCCTAGTTACATAAAAATCTCATAGCCACACATATCCTTTTCTGACTGTGTCACTACCCAATACTGCTATGAAGACCGCTCTGAAATGTGTTAATGACTGTTGCACATTCTGTGGGTTAACTGGGCAGTGTTTTTCTCCTGTTGGTATGGGTGGTCACTGTGGCAGTTGGCATATATTTGTGAGCTGCTGTGATGGTGTCTTACCTGTCTTGTTTTCTCTTTCTGTATGTCTATCATCCAGGAGGGTTTATTACTGCCTGGCAGCTGACTTCTGAGTGGTAGAATTCCAGGAAATTCCTGTGTCTGAATGCTTATCATGACGCTAGTTGCCAGAATTTGCTGGTAGAGGCAAGTCATGTCACTTAGCACAGTCTAAGCAGGAAAGGGTTATTGCTGCCTCACAGTGACAATTCTTTAAAGATGCTTTTATTTTTATTTATTTTTTTGAGATTATAACTAATTACATAGTTTCCCCTTCTTTTTCTTCTCTGTAAATCTTTCTGTGTACCTTCTTTTTCAAATTCTTCCCCTTTTTTCTTTAATCATCATTGTTGTTGTATGTATGCTTATGTATTTCTAAATGCATAATGCAATTTGCATTCTCTATAATATTACTTGCATGTATGTTTTCAGGGATGTCCATTTGATATTGGATCAGTTGGTGTGCTCTTCCATTGGGTAAACTATTTCTCTTGTTCTCAGCCATCCTGTAATTCTCTGTCTAGGATTGAGTCTTCATGAGCTTGTTAGTGTGTCTGTTGGTATCATTGTTCATCTCATGTTTAGGCAGTTGTGTTGGTGAGACTTCATGGGTATAGATTGTGACTTTTCTAGGAGACATAATTTCACAGCAAACTCACCATTCCTATGGCTCTTACCTATGCCTCAGCTCCCTCTTTCCTGAGTCTTATGTGCAGGAATTGTGTTGTTAATCACAGATAAGTATCGTCCTTACCCCTCATCAAGGAAATTTCTATTTTTAACGACAGAAACCATTACAGAAAACCACAGTGGATCAGAATGCAGAGTTGTAGAGCCTCATCCTAATTGGTATACTTACAAGATGTGTTCTTAAAATTTAAAAAAAAAAAGATCCACTTTTCCCTAGCAGCCATCAACCACCAACAGCTCATGAAACAGATTTGTGCTGTTATGACTCCCACCCCATCCATGTTAATGTTGACCTGCTTGATCTTATGTGGGTCTTGTATAGCTTCTATATCACTCCTCCCTATGTTTTGGCTCTTACATTCTTTCTACTCTTTCTTCTTTAGTGTTCCTTGAACTTCAGGCTTAGGGTTGATAAAAATGTACCATTTAGGAGAGTCTGCATTAATTGATACCCACTGAAAAGAGAAACTTCTCTTTCCAAGGTTGGAATTAGTGCTAATCTGTGTTTAAAGACATAAGTATTTAGAAGACAGTTTGACAACATTTGCATTTAGCAAAACAGGAGTAGGTCATTAGGATCTATGATGTTTCCAGATTTGTTCATTTGACTAGGTTTACAGCACCAGGCAAGAATTCCCTCTTGTTGTGCAGACCTCAAATCCAATTAGAAAACAGTTGATTGCATCCATAGTGTGATGCTATTATGTACCAGTGGACTCATCTTGCCTGGAAGAGCAGATTTATAGCACAGCTGGGTAAACTACCACAGGTAAGACTTTCCTCTCCCAGAGGCTTGCACAGCACTTAGACCATGAAAACTAGCTAGTGGAGAGGGAGTTTCTAGTTAGTTCCAGGGTCCTCTCTTGCAAATCCTTAAGTAGTAGGGCCTATTTATGGTGGGCAACCAAGAGTAAAGCCAGCATCCTATGTTGTTTTGGGGGCCTGTGTGACCTCCCTGACAAACTACTTGTAAGGAAGTTATCTCATACCCAGCTTCGAGAGTTTTGATAATTAATGATGCCTTCTGGGAGTATCATTGTCAACTCTTTAGGGTACCCCAGTTCGTAAAAGCCTATGTTTAAAAAATAGAGCTTAGGATTTTGTCAGTATGAAGTTTATAGAAAGTAATATCTTCTTTTTTTGTTTCTAATACTGATGTTTAATTACGAATGCAGTATGCCTTTCTACACTTAAAGAAATTTAGATGATCCCTGTGCAATATGGTAGCCACTAGACACATTTAGTTTTTGAATTTTGAGATTGAAGTACACTATTCACTGTAAAATACATGTAAAAATATGAATATTTAAGGAAAATAAAGAATAAATTTTTAAAATATTGGAGGCTTGGGAGAATGCTTAGTTCATAAAATGCTTGTTGTACAAACATGAAGGACCCTAAGTTCAAGTTCCTAGAATATAAAAGAGGTTAGCATGTGGGGCATGCTTGTAATCTCAGTGCTGGGGGTAGAGACAACTTGATTTGGGGGCTTGCTGTCCAGCCTGTCTAGCTGAATTGGTGAATTCCAGATTCAGTGACATTGCCTGTCTCAAACAATAAGATGGTGACTGATTGAACAAGGTACCTGACACTACTGACCTCTGGCCTTCATCCATACATTGCACACAAATATGTATATATACACACAAAATATTAATGACATGTGTAAGGTGATAGTGTCTTGAACATACTAGTGACATTAAATACAGTATTGCAGTTAACTTATTTTTGTTTAATGTGACTTTTAGAAAATTTAAATTAAATGTGTGGTAATATGGGATTCCTCTCTGTATGCTATGAATACCATTGGTTAATAAAGAAACTGGCTTGGCCTGGTAGGGTAGAACAGAGCTAGGTGGTGTAGGGGGGACACTAAACTGAATTCTGGGAGAAGGAAGGTGGAAGGAAGGTGGAGTCAGGGGAGACACCATGGAGCTGCAGCCAGAGATAAACATGGTGAAACCTTGCTGGTAAGCCATGAGCCTGTGGTAAAGTATAAAATAATGGAGATGGGCTAATTCTAGATATAAGAGCTAGCTAGCAATATGCTTAAGTAATTGCCCAAGCACTGATTGGAATTAATACAGTTTTTGTGTGATTATTTCGGGAGTCTGGGCACCTGGAAACGAACAAGTGGCCTGCTTACTACAGTGTGGTGCTATTTTTTGTTTGTGCTATAACAAATAAAGCTTGCCTGAGGATCGGAGGGTAGAGCTACCCACTAGTTAGCCATAGAGGCTGGGCAGTGGTGGCATACAACTTTAATCCCAGTATTTGGGAGGCAGAGGCAAATGGATCTCTGTAAATTCAAAGGCCGCCCTGGGGTACATAAGATCGAATCTGTCTAGAAACAGAGCTCACACAAAGGTGGTCCCAGCACTTGGGATCACACACCTTTAATCCCAGCACTAGGGAGGAGGAGACAGGAGCGATATGGCTGGTTGGAGAGAAGACTATAAGATGGAAGGAGCTCAAGGCATTCAGTCTGAGGACTTGGAGAGATAGGCTACATCATTTGGTCTGAGAATTTTGTAGAAGTAAGAACTAGTGACTGGCTACTCTGCTTCTCTGATCTTTCAGCTTTCACTCCCTAGTATCTGACTCCAGGTTTTTATTAAAAAGACCAATTAGAATTTGCACTACATAAATGTATAGATCCGTTTTGTTCTGACTGTACTAGTTTTAGAGGGCCTTAAAGAATAACTTGTTAATTCTGAAGTTCTTGTGCTAGTTTGGTGACTTCAATTTTATTATTGTGTTTTTAAAAATTAAAGTGTCTCATTAAAATGTAAATAATTCTGTAATGGGGCCTCAATTAGCCATAGTTAGGGGATTTCATGAGTTTAATGAGAAAGCATAATAAAACAAAATTAAAGTATATGGATTTCTTGCAATTTGGGAGTTGTAATGGCACTTTAAAAAACATTCAGAGTATTTAGCATTTTAAAATGCTGACTGAAAACTATTCTTCTCTTCAGTGCTTTCTTGTTTTATATTTTGATCATATGAGAAAGTATTTATCTATGGAGTGTGTGCCTTAGTTAGGGTTTCTCTTGCTGTGAAGAGATACCATGATCACGGCAACTCTTATAAAGGGAAACATTTAATAAGGTGGCTTATAGTTTCAGAAGTTCAGTCCACTATCACCATGGTGTGACATGGCAGCATGGAGGCAGACGTGGTGCAGAAGAAAGAGCTGAGAGTCCTACATTTTGTTCTGCAGGCAACAGGAAGTGAACTGAGTCCCACACTGGGTGTAGTGTGAGCTATGAGACCTCAAAGCTCTCTCCCACGGTGACACACTTCCTCCAACAAGCCCACACTTCCTAATAGTGTCACTATTAGAATAGTGTCACTATTGTCCTCTAGACCAAGCATTCAAACACATGAGTCTGTGGGGGACGTACCTATTCAAATTACCGCAGTTTGTATTCTTTCATTTAATTCTGAGCTAATATTTGAAGGCCTACTGCATGCCAGATTTCCAAATAGATGCTTGGAATAGTAGATCAGGAGCAAAACAGATGAAATCTGTGTCTTCAAGCTTACATTCTGGCAGGGCTTGTGAGAAGGCACATTTAAGAAACTCAGTGCTTAAGTGGGGAATGGGGATCAGAACAGGAAGATGGTGGGGGAGGCTGCATGCGACTTTATGTAGGATGTGGGATGGTCTTGTATAAGTGGAAGCTTAAGTGTATCTATTGAATATATTACGCAGGTAAGTAATAGAATATATATCTGATA